GTAATGGGTTGGGTTGTGGTGGTGTTTTCGCTGGAACTGGCTCTAGCAACTTTTTCGGTGAAGGAAACGGTGTCAACTCTTGGGGGGATGGCTTTCTTACCTTTCTTTGTTTTCACTTTAACTCGAGGCATGCTGTGATGAGGAGGTTGACGGTATGTTAATGCTGCAGCGTACCTAGCGTTAAGGGAAAGCGACTAGACAGAGGGAAACGAAGGAAAATGAAGGGTAGGGAAGGGTGCTACCGCAAAATTAAGGCTCTGAACTTGTCTAATACTAATCTCCTCCATATTTTCTTAAATAGACTCGGCACCTTGGTCCTCATTAATGCCCAGAAAAAGGGCCAACTACCCCCTTTTCTCTTAAAAATTTCGAAATAAAAAAAATTCCCTCCCTTTTTACCTTTTTTAGAAAAGCGCCCTAATTCTCTCTTTTAAAAAAAACGTGGGAGAGGAATGTCCAAAATAATTCAGTTTTAAAACTTTTAACCCACGATTTCTTTTCTAACAGATTTTTTGTTGTAGGCACTAATTGCTTTTCTCTCTCCTTAACTGCTTTTCCCTTTTTTAAATTTCATCTTTATTTTCATATCCCTGATTTGCGCTCCAGCATCGATGAGGTTGACCACACTTTCTCAACTTCCCCCAACTCTGTTTTAGCGATTATAGCACTGAACTGGTAGAGTCTTTCCCTTGCCTGAAACAAAAAAAAAAAACGAAACACAAGAAATGCTTCTAATTAAAATCTTCCTACTAACATTAAGAAATTTAAATTGAATTAACAAGAATTAAACTACAGAGAGAGAAGAAATAAAATATTCTTCCCCTTTTATTCTATCTTGGTAACCCCTTATGTTGACCTCAGCTGGTAGGAATCCATCTTCCTCACCACTTCTCCTACCTAGTAGTGCTTCAATCTTTGTCCATTTACTATGAATTCCCTTCCCTTGTCATCTTCTTTGACGGTTATAACTTCATAAAAATATACCTTCACCATTGTGAATCGTCATGACCATCTTGATTTCAACTTTCCAGGAAACAACTTCAGCCTTGAGTTGAATAACAACACCTTCTGTCCCTCCTCAAATGTTCTTGGCTTTATTCTTCTGTCATACCACACTTTGGTCTTATCTTTGTAAACCTTTGCGTTCTCGTAAGCTTCTTTTCTGAATTTATCCAACTCTAGTAGCTGAAATTTTCTCGTTTCTCCTCCTGCTGCTAGATCCATATTCAACCTCTTCACAGCCCAAAATGCCTTCTGCTCCAGCTCAAATGAGAGATGACATGTCTTCCCAAATACTAGCTTATAAGGGGATGTTCCTATTGGAGTCTTGTAGGCAATCCTATATGCCCACAATGCATCGTCCAACTTGTAAGACCAATCTTTTCTACTGATATGCACTACCTTCTCCAAAATCCCCTTAATTTCTTTGTTTGATACCTCTGCTTGCTCGTTCATCTGAGGGTGGTATGTAGTGGACACCCTATGCTTGATATTGTATTTCGCTAACAAGGAACTCATGGCTTTGTTAACAAAATGGGACCCCTCGTTACTTATAAATGCCCTAGGGGTTCCAAATCTGGTGAATATGTTCATGTGTATGAACTTCAAGACTTCTTTCGCATCGCATGTTATGCAAGCTATTGCTTCCACCCATTTAGAAACATAATCCACTGCCAACAAGATGTAGAGGTTACCATTTAATGGAGGGAAATGTCCCATAAAATCTATCCCCCAAACATCAAAGAGTTCTATCTCATGGATAAAATTCGAAGGCATTTATGACTTGTTTGAGACGTTTCCCACTCTCTGGCATTTGTCACAGTTCCTTGCGTATGAGTGTGAATCTTGGAAGACAGTTCGCCAATAGTAGCCACTTTGGAAGATTTTGGCTGCAGTTCACTGTCCTCCAAAATGTCCACCATAAGGGACGGAGTGACAATGCTCCAACACTATGGATGATTCATCCCTGTCAACACATCTGCGCATAATTTGATCCTTGCATAGTTTGTATAGATAAGGATCATCCCAATAGTAAAACTTGTTGTCATGGATGAATCATTTAAGTTGCTACCTTTTCATATCTGATGGCAAAATTCCACTAGCTACATAATTGGCCATATCAGCAAACCATGGCTCCAAGTCTTTTCTCTATTCTGTCACCATTAGCAACTGCTCATCAGGGAATGCATCTCTGATAGCTGCTTCTTGTCCTTTCACTGCTCCTTCTAGCTCTACTTTCGATAAATGGTCTGATACTTGGTTCTCTGATCCGTTTTTATCTCTAATCTCTTGATCAAATTCTTGTAACAGCAACACCCATCAAATCAGCCTCGGCTTGGCATCCTTTTTGGAGAGCAAATACTTGATCGCTGCGTGGTCGGTGTATACCACTACCTTCGTTCCAATGAGGTACGCTCTGAATTTTTCAAACTCAAAGACCACCGCTAACAGCTCTTTCTCAGTGGTGGTGTAATTTAGTTGAGCATACACCAATGTTCTGCTGGCATAGTAGATTGGGTGAATTAGCTTTCCTTTCCTTTGATCGGCCAACACAGTTCCTACCGCATAATCACTAGCGTCACACATGACTTCGAATGGTTCCTTCCAATTTGGTGCAGTCATTATGGGATCCTCGATGAGGGTTGTTTTCAATATGGTAAAGGCCTGCAAACAATTTGATGAAAAGTTAAAAATGCGCTCACTTTCTAAAAGGCAACAAAGAGGTTTAGAGATTTTAGAAAAATTCTTGATGAATCTCCTGTAGAACCCTGCATGTCTAAGGAAACTTCTAACGTCTCTAACTGACGTGGGGGGTGGCAGCTTATCTATGACTTCAATCTTGGCGCGATCTACCTCTATGCCTTTCTTGGATACCTTGTGGCCCAACATTATCCCTTCCATCACCATAAAATGGCATTTCTCTCAGTTGAGCACTAAATCGGTGTCTTCACACCTCCTCAACACTTGCTCTAGATTGCTCAGACACTCGCTGAAATCCTTTCCAAAGACTGAGAAGTCATCCATGAAGACCTCAACCACAGTCTCTATTAAGTCTGAAAAGATTGCCATCATACATCGCTGGAATGTTGCTGAAGCATTACACAGTCCAAAGGGCATTCTTCTAAATGCAAATGTACCATATGGACAAGTGAATGTAGTCTTTTGCTGGTCTTGAAGATCGATGGTAATTTGGTTGTAGCCACTGTATCCATCCAAGAAACAGTAGTATTCTTGCTCAGCTAACCTATCTAACATCTGATCAATGAATGGCAATGGAAAATGGTCCTTCTTAGTTGTCTTGTTCAACTTCCTATAATCCATACAAATGCGCCAAACTGTTATGGTTCTTGTGGGAATCAGCTCATTGTTGTGATTTGGCACCACTGTGATCCCTCTCTTCTTGGGTACACATTGGACTGGACTTACCTAATCACTGTCGGCTATTGGGTAAATTATCCCAGCATCAAGACATTTAATGATTTCCTTCTTGACAACTTCCTTCATGGCAGGGTTTAACCTCCTCTGGCGTTCAATCGAGTTCCTACATCCCTCTTCTAGATTGATTATATGCATGCAGTAACTTGGACTAATTCCCTTTATATGAGCTAGAGTCCAGCCAATGGCCTTCTTGTGATTCCTTAACATCTCTATTAATCGACACTCTTTTTCTTCGGCTAAGTCTGCTGCAATGATGAGTGGCAGTGTTTCTGCTTCTCCCAGATAAGCATACTTGAGGTGCGATGGTAGGACTTTGAGCTCTAACTTTGAGGCTTTCACCACGGACGGCTGCAGCGGTGCTTGCACCCTATCCTTCAATTCCAACGGCTCAAATGTCTTCTTATAGATTCTATCAAATTCAGGTTCATGCGGCTGGCCTTGGATCAACTTGGCCTCCTTGTGTCCTGCCTTGAGAATTCTGGTTAGCTCGTCCTCTAGTTGGTTCAACAGCTCTTCTGTTTGTATTTCATCACTCATCAAATCATTTGCAATCCTTGACAAAGAACATTCTTCCACATCAGTAGGGTATTTAATGGAGTTAAAAACAGAGAATGGCACCTGCTGGTCATTAACTCTCATAGTGAGCTCTCCATTGTGTACATGAATCAATGTTCTCCCCGTGGATAAAAATGGTCTTCATAAAATGATTGGGATTTTCTTGTCATCTACGTAATCCAGTATGATGAAATCTGCAGGAAAAATGAATTTATCTACCTGAACCAAAACATCCTCTATCTTACCCTCCGGATGTGTAATGAACCTATCTGCCAACTGTAAGGTGACGGTTGTTGGTCTTGCTTCTCTTATCCCTAGCTTCTGATACACTGATAGAGGCATCAGGTTAATGCTAGGGCCCAAGTCACACAATGCATGCCCTACATTCTTCCCTCCTATCGACACAGGAATGGTAAAACTTCCAGGATCACCCATTTTCTGAGGGAGCTTTTCTGTCAGAATGGCACTGCATTCTTTTGTAAGGGCCACCGTTTTAAATTCCCCTAGGCTTCTTTTCTTTGCCAATATATCCTTGAGGAATTTGACGTAATTTGGCATCTGCTCTAATGCTTCTACCAAGGGTATGTTGATATCGAGCTGTTTCAGCACCTCTAAAAAACGATCAAACTACACAACGTAGTTTTTTTTTTTTTGCAACCGCTGAGGGTAAGGAGGGGGAACTTGATGTTCCACAGGTATTTTCACTTCCTTTTGCACTGGTGTCTCCATAGACACTTCCTCCACAGACACTGGCCCTCTTTCCTTTGTTTTTTTCTAGCTCAGGCTGCTTCGTCATTCCTTGTTGTGCCACCGATCCTAGTTGTGTTGTTCACTCAACTGATGCTCCAGCTTCATTCCCTACGTTTTCTTTAGTATTCATATTTTCTGCTACACTCTCAGTCACCTTCTCTGTCTGAAGCTCTTCCTGGTGTACAACATTATCCTCTCTCATCAAATAGAGGTGTGGTAATACCTTTCCACTACGAAGAGTCAATGCTTGACATTGCTCTTTCCCTTCCCTTTGAGGATTCTCAGTATTACTTGGCAGGGTACCTTGTGGGCGATTTTTCATTTCAATAGCCAACTATCTTAGTTGAACTTCCATATTTCTTAAGGTGGCGGCTTGGCTCTGTATCAATGCATCGTTCTTGGCAATATAATCTCTCATCAGAGCTTCCATAGAGTTTGAGGAGTTAGCTGCTGGTCTTGCTTCTTGCGGTTGGCTAGGCATTAGTAATCCTGGCTGCTGCAGTGTTTTCAATTGGTACTACCCGGCGTTCTGATTCCCATGACCACCTTGATTTCCTCCCAGGCTAAAATTTGGGTGTTGCCTCCATCCTAGGTTATAGATATTCGAGTAAGAGTTGTTTCTGCCAGGATTTCCCAAATAATACACTGATGCAGGGTTTCAAAGGCAAGAGTCATAAGTATGATCACCTTCGCAGTAGGAACATGAGACTGCCATTACCTTGCTTGTTCCTGAGTTAGTGGATGATGCTGCAGCAGCACTCATGTTCTTTACCATTTTGGTTAGGTTTACTATTTGATCTTTCAGAGAAGCCATCTCCATGTTGCTGGCAGCCCCTTAGTTTCTTCTGTCACTTATAGCTCTGGAATCTGACAAATGGTAGTTATTGGAAGAGATTCTCTCCAATATGTCCACTGCTTCGATATATGATTTAGATAGCAATGCTTCATTCGCAGATGCATCAACCACCATTATGGTTGCTTCATTCAGCCCATTATAGAATGTTTCTATCTTAGTGGATTGTTCTTGTGTAATCTCTGTTTCTCCACTCTTCGAGGCAATTGCCTTACTGTGTTTCACTGGATTGATCTCTGTTGTACTCGGCAAATGACCTTGAAGCCTATCCACCATCATGCAATGCCACCTAACCAACTTGTACCTCAGTTACTAATAAAAGTTGCTGAATTTTGGAAGTTAGTATATGTTTTAGCCATGAACTGAGTTGTAGTGTTTGCCAACTATATCATTGCCTATTAAAGGCTATATTTCTTCTCTGGTTGTTGAAATCCATGTGGTGGAGGAGGATTCTGACTCTACTTTTGCCTCCATGAGAAGTTCGAATGATTGCACCAACATGGATTATAGGTGTTGGAACAGGGATTATTTTGCTAGCAATTAAAATTCCCGACCAAATAAACTAACAATCTTCGCTCCGATGGTTACCATGATAGTATTCACAAAAGATATGTGGTGTTTGAATAGCATTTATCGCAAGCTGGCTTGATTGAAGTTGCTTGGTAAGTCAAGTAACTTGCGAGATTAATGCAGTTATATAATCCACCTCATTTACTCCCATCAGTCTTTTTTTAGCCGACCTATCACGATGCCACTAGTAGTTGTTCATTGTCATTTCTTCCAACAACGCATATGCTCCACTTTTAATTTTACCCATGAATGCCCCTCCTGATGCTGCATCAATTACAGTTCTTGTTCCATCATCGAACCAATTATCAAAATGATGCACTTGCATCTATCCAGGGAATCCATGGTGGGGGAACTTTTTTAGAGATTCCGTGTATCTTTCCCATAATCTATAAAATGTCTCTCCCTCAAATTGGGAAAGTTGTTAATCTCAACTCGAATCTTAGTAGACTTATCTCGTGGAAAGAACATGGCAAGGAATTTATAAGCCAAATCATTCCATGTTTGAATTGAATATGCCGACAAGGAGGTCAACCATTGTTTAGCTCAATCCTTAAGAGAGAAGGAAATGCCCTTAGTATGATTGCATCAACTATCACTCCATTGTATTTGAATGTATCATACATCTCCAAAAAATTAGAAATGTGAGCATTACGATCTTCACTGGGTAATCCACAAAACTATATTAATGTCTGGATCATCTGTAGTGTGGCCGGCTTGATCTCAAAATTATTCGCTTGAATTGCAAGCCTTCAAATAGCTGAATTTATCTCAGTCACATACGGCAACTCATAATCCCTTAAAGCCTGATTCTCATTTTCTCCGCCTTCTGTCATTCTCTCACTTTCTTATGCAACGTGTTCTTTCTTTGATTTTCTATTTCTTTTACAAGTGCGCTTGATTTCAATGTCAATAGGAAGTAGACTGTTGCTTCCAAATTTTCACATGCACTTGCTCCAATTCCTAAATGAAACAAACAATCAAGTTAATAAACAACTAAAAATTCTTCAATTTAATACCAAAGCTTTGGATTTCAATAATAGTAAAAATTTCACTCCCCGCAACAGCAAAAAACATGTTGTTCAATTTCCCAAGCGTACAAATCATCACAAGTAATAAAGTGACAAGTAAAAGTATCGTCTCCACAGGGAATGAATTCTAAAATGGTGGGGAAACGGAGAAATTCTAAAATGAAATCAATAAAAACAGAAAATAACACAATTATTTAGAAAGGAGAGTAAATCAATGGGAATTAAACTCTAGATCTTGACTTCACCAATATCGCGATTTAACTCTTCCTATGACTTTAATCAAAACTTTTCTAAGCCAAGTTTGTTGGCGGGTTTTACCCTGTTGACTCGATATTATTTCTCATGCAATAACAATTTTCTTCAAAAAGTAAAGTATCTATATCTCTACAACTACTTCGACAATTCAAATAATTAAGCACGTAAAACTAAAAGATGCCACAAAATTTGCAAGAAAACTCCATCTCTTGCTTTAACTAGAGATAACTATTCAAGTCTAGCAGAAAATATTGTTTCTCAACCTCGATTCATGACAAGGAATCAATGTAAAGAATGACCAAATTTAAACAATGCATGAAGAATCGAAAAAAGTTCTCAAAACCAGCAAGTCCAGAAGATAAACCAAATAAAGAACATGGAAGAGTAAAGTTCGATAAAAGCTATATCAATGCCCTAGAAAAGTGTATTTAGCTCATGCTTGAAGCAAAAAGAGAGAAATAAGAAGAGAAAGAAAACAAATCTGGTGATTTCTCTAGTCTTCATTCTTCACTATTTGATCACAAAAATGACCAGCAACAAATCTCAACTCATACAGAAGGCTGACTTGGAGGATGACCTCGAGTACCTCGAACAGGATACCTACAAAACAAAGAACACTTCGAAGCCCAAGTCAAGAAGAATCCGAGATGTATTTAGAGAGAAATACAGTATTCGTGAACATGAAAGGGAGACAAATGACTTCTCTTTATAGGCGAGGTCTCCGACATCTTTCTTGATAGGGCCTCAATGGCGTGATGTCGTGGAATCTGTCGGAATGGAAGGTTAAGCCGAGTATATAAAGGTCAGTTCGGCCAGCAAACGAGAACAAGTCTCAAAGAGAATATGATCGACTCGGTCATGTTAGGCGTCGACTCGAGATCGGATAGGAAAATCGAGGTGATGAAACTAGGCCTTGTCATATCAAGGCCACGTGTAATCCTATCCTCCAATCAAGATATGCCACGTAAAAGGTTTAAAACCAACTCCAATCAAGATATCTCACTTCCTACCCTTTTGCGGCTAGGGTTAAAATGAGATTTTTAACTAAATTTTGTCCACAGCGCCCAACCGTGTGCATCGCTATTAGGGTTGACTTGTTACTGTAAAAATTTGTGTCGGTAGGCTTGTTTGACTACAAATTTCAACCATTTCCCATCATTATTTGCCAAAAAGGATTACATATTCTTAAAGTAGAACATGCATCGAACATTTCTGGATAAATTGCAATATATGGTACTTTAGGAAAAAATGAGAAAGACATGGTCAAAGTTCGAAAAAAATCACAAAATCTGTTTTGCAGGGAAATTGCGCCTGGCGCAATTTTGAAGTCAACATTGACCAAAACGTGCGTTTCACTTAATGAAGGGCAATGGGTATATTTTCAACATGTTTGAATCAAGCTACAACTATATGTCCAAGTCAATAAGGGATTGTTAGTTGAATCTCAACCCATTTCTACCTAAAATGACGGGGAGTTAAACCAACTCAAGGGCCTATAAAAGGGAGCCTCTCCCCCAGCAGCAAATCATCCATTCCAAGCTCGTTTTCAGCTTCACTTGCTTCCTTCTTCATTGTAGTTTTCGTTCATATGCTTTAGATTTATGTTTTAGTTGTTATTTCCTTGTATTTCCATACTTTCGCTTATTGTATTGCTTTGAATTCAAGTTCTACCTTTTATTCTTCATATATTATGTTCTTCTTAAGTTCTTAATCGAGTTTACACTCCCCTCACGCTCGAGAGAGAAGAGGGTAAAGTTAGAACCCCTTATACGACTTATTTATTCGTTTAAATTTAATAAAAAATACGTCTGTTATGTTTTCGTGCATTTTCTTTCCATTAATTATGCACTAAAATATTTATCTCCTCCTTTTGGAATGCCTTAGCCAAAATGATTTTATTTTCGAACATGCTCAGGATTTGACAAGATTGCGTCTAGCGCAATCTTGAGTTGGTTTCTAAAAACTTATCTTTATGTCTTTTTCTATTTGGTCACTGGGAAATTGATTTATGCACTAAAGCTCAACTCTGAGAAGGGTGGGTTAGGTAAAATAATAAGAAACCAATATGGGATGTGACTTAGACATAAGCGCATAAAACACGG